ATCGAGCCTATTTCTTTCATTTTGGCGGCGATTAACATTATCTGGATCGAGCCTATTTCTTTCATTTTGGCGACGATTAACATTATCTGGATCGAACCTATTTCTTTCATTTTGGCAACGATTAACATTATCTTGATCGAGCCTATTTCTTTCGTTTTGACGGCGATTAACGTTTTCTCGATTAAGCCTATTTCTTTCATTTTGTAAATGATTAATTTCATCTCGCCTAAGTCTATTTCTTTCATTTCGTCTACAACTATTTTCAACACGCCTTATAGCACTTACATCATTTTGTAAATACATAACTTCATCTAGCCTATCATTCATTTCAATGTCATCATTTTGATTAAACATATTTATCAAAGCAACACAAATTATTTCTTTTTTTTACTACTCTAAAGTTAACAATAAAATAAAAAAACTTAATAACTAAAAAAATCTTACTCAAAAAATTAAAAAAAAAAATTCTCAAAACAAATATATAAAGAATCCAAACTAATGTAAAACAAAATTAATTTGCATCATCAAAAGTAATACAGGTTACTTAAGTTTATTTGATAAAAGTTAAGAAAAACCTGCAACCATATTAGCAAAAACCTAATACAAAAAGTTAAAATTTATTCTAATTCTAATAAAGAAAAAAAAATTTAGAAACAAACAACATATCTTCGCAGACAGCGTCATAAGGCATGCGTTGGGAGAAAACATTGAACAAAACGTGTAATAAAACTTATTAACGCGTTATGTACAATAGAAAACGGGTTATTAACGCAGGTTTATAAATTTTTTTGCCTCAACACACTATTACGCTGCCGCAACTCCAAGATACACACACACATATATATATATATATATATATATATATATATATATATATATATATATATATATATATATATATATATATATATATATATATATATATATATATATAGAACTATTTATTAGCGAAAACATATGAAAACCAAAATTTTTTATATAACATATATAGTATATTTGATAAATAAACCTCTACAATTTTTTTGGTTCAACAACTTGATTATGATTAATAACAACTCTGTAAATATAAATTTTCTAATGATTTAAATCTTTATAAATTAGATATTTTATTTTATATCTTAGTTTTAAATTAAATAAATTATATATATCTTAACTATAAATTAAATCTTTATAAATTAGATATAAATAGAAAAGCAAACATATAATAACACAATTATATTCTAAACCAAAATTCAATCATGCAAGGCAAATTATTAAACTTTTTGAAAAGAAAAAAAACATATTTTTTTTCAAAGAGCCTAAGTATTAACAATACTATAGATAAATTTTATTTATAACAAAATGTTGTCATGGCTTTTATCCCAATTATTAAAAACTACCCATAAATATATTTTAACGCTAGACACTATCTAAGAATTAAAGTAATCTATAACACGAAACTTTAAATTTAAAATATTACAATTTAAAAAAGATTACAATAAATTAATTACTTTTAAATTAAAAAAAAATTTTAGATTACCTATAATTTTAAGCTACTAAACATTATCTACTTAATATCAACTTGGACATTTTGAACTCGTTCCATGAAAGGTTGAAAGGAAATCTTTAAAAAAGCACGCGGTAAAGAAAAGTCTAGAAACTACTTAAAAAGTGTATTTTACAGATACAGAACCGTACCGTAACTATAAAACAATACGCGTAACTATGCGCACTATTAATAATAGCAATAATAATAATATTCATTCGGCTATTCATTATAGAGATTATCGCTATTTTTTATATGAAACTCCGAGTCAATATTAGAAATATCCTCAATAATTATCATTATCATTATCATTATCACATCATTATCATTGAAATTCTTAAATAATTGGTTAGTTGTTATGAATTTTGTTTTTTTGAAAGGAGTACAAGGAATTCAAGCAAATTGTGCCATGTGATCTGATTAAAGTCACCTATTAACATAACCTGTTTATTTTCTAACTTTTTCAAGTAAAGGATTAAAATGATCAGAAAAAAATTCCTTTGCATTGAAGTATGCCGGTATATACAGCCAATGTTGATATTTAAAATAAAAAAAAAAGACTGATGATTTTAACAAAGAAAGTTTCTAGATATTTTTAGGCAAATAATATAAGATCTCTTCGAATATTGTAGCTCAGGTTGGATTGTAAGTATAGAAGAGCATCTCCTTTTTTATCTTAAGTGGAGCATTTTTGGATAACATAACCATATATACTTATGTCAGTTATATTGGGATCGTATATAATCCTAGAAATTAAAGACAACTCCAATATTATTTTTTGAATTGTATTACACTTTACAAAGAATTTAATGAATTAGTTAGTAGAGTCTGAGATGATAAAGTTAAAGTAAATTCCGAAAGTGTGTTAAATGGCATATTCTTAATTATGCAGTCACTACAGTACCAGTCAGAGGAGTCTTTGAAAAGAAGGTTATACAAAAAAATTTGTTGGTTAAGTTGCATTTAACATGAATCCAAGAAGAACTGCAACCACATATAATGGCTCTTTGATTATTAGCCACTGCCTCATTGCAGATCCTGCAATGGTTTTTAATTGCCATGTAAAAATATAAGTTAAAAACAAAACAATAGTATATAAAAGTATGGTATAAATCAATAATAAATAAATACAGTATATAATATAATATCGAAGGATATAATATTAATTATTTAGTAATTATAATAAATATTATCAAAAATTTTAAACAGATAATATGATGATAAACAATATAATAGCAGATAATATTGTATAATAAATAAATGGTAATACAAAGATACAATAACTTAAAAACATCGAACAAAAAAAAAATGTATAAACGAAAATAATAATGTAATACAAGAAAAATATTAAATATAAAACAAGAAAATTAGTAATGAAGTAATAGTATAATACAAAAAAATTAATAATAGTAAAATTAGAAAGACAAAAACTAATAACAATTTATTACAAGTTAAATCGTTAAATATTATAAAACAATCTTTTTATTCTTCAAAAATAATTTTCTTCATTTTTTTCTTTATTTGTTTCTTTTTATTTTTTAACTTTTTCTTTTTTCTTTTTTTACTTATTTCTTTCAATTTTTTGCGTAAGATTTCTTTTTTAGTTAATTTGAAATTTTGTTTATCTTTTTGTTAATTTTTTCTATTTTTTTCTTGATTTTTTTTGCTTTGTTAATATTAATTTTTAAGAGTATATATATATATATATATATATATATATATATATATATATATATATATATATATATATATATATATATATATATATATATATATATATATATATATATATATATATATAGATATATATATATATATAGATATATAGATATATATATATATATATATATATATATATATATATATATATATATATATATATATATATATAGGGGAAAGCGGGGCAACATGGCGAATGGGGCAAGATGGGTTTTCATATAACAACTCAACAAAAAATCTTAAAATTGGTTGAAAACGAAACTATATTTGCATTTTGTATTTTAAAACACCAAGTGGTTTTTTGAAATATCATGAACGCAAATTTATACGCATAAGTTTACTTTTTGCGCTTAAAAAAAAATTCCTCACTTTCGGTTTCACATAATGGATGGTGTCCTTCAAGTTTAACTTCTTTAGAAGTAGTTTTTTGCAATTTGTGTTTATTTTGTGTTGCTTTAGTTAGAGTTATTGGTAGTTTTTAAAATTTTATAAAATTGGAGGTAAAAATTGCATAATAAGTCATCTTGCCCCGGTCACGTGACAAAATGACAAGTTTATGAACTTTTTATTTTAATATTTATTTCAAATTGTTATATTTTCAAACTGAAAATTCATGCAGTCAATGAAGGATTTTAACAACATGAACATACTGAGAGAGTATTATTGCTTCACGGCTGATAGTTTTGCAATGACTCAGGGCTCTCAAAACGTTCGCCATGTTGCCCCGCTTTCCCCTATATATATATATATATATATATATATATATATATATATATATATATATATATATATATATATATATATATATATATATATATATATATATATATATATACATGTATATATATATACATATATATGTATACATATATATATATATGTATATATATACATATATATATGTATACATATATATATGTATACATATATATATATATATATATATATATATATATATATATATATATATATATATATATATATATATATATATATAAATTGTAAATGTTACACGATTTAATTTTACAAATTGTTTATTACTGAGAGAATTGTAAAAAAAAAAATGGAAAAAATTAAATATTCTTGAAATCGTATGTTATGTATACTTCAAATGCAGATGTATATGCTAGAATTTTAGTTTTTATTTTTGTTTTTCATTTAATATATTTTTATATATGTGTGTGGGAATGTATGTTAAGTATGTATATTAAATCTATAAATTTTTACTTTACTATTTTACATTAAATATCTGGGCGAAAAAAATAAATAAATTACTAAAACCTAAAAAAATTTACACTTTTTTAGATAATTTATATTTTCAGTTGCATAAATATAATAAAGTATAGAACAATTTTTTTTTTTTTTGAATTTTTTGTTTTTGATTTGTTACTTAATCCCTATTTAAGTATACTTTTAGTAAATTTTAAGGTAATTAAAAAATAATTTTATTTTTTGATTTTGTATTTTATGTTACACTGTTTTATAAGCTATGTATCTTACGGGATCTATTACGGAACTTAGTGATAAAACAAATATAGTCTTCTTTTTGCCCGGTCATGTATATATTTTAATCTATATATATATAGATTATAAGTAATATTACCTCAATAGCTTAGCAACTGTATAAATATAATTAAATTAGTAATTTGTGATGTAAAGGTGTTTTTGAGTAACTTTTTATCAAAGTTACTTCTTAAGTTACTTCTGATTTTCAATTGTTTGCATCTAACTTTTATAAACTCATTGTGATTTTTAGATCTTAGTTTTGGCTTATTGCAATTTAGTATTTGCTGCTCAATATAAATATGGTAAGCTTTAAAACCTTTATATATATATATATATATATATATATATATATATATATATATATATATAATATATATATATATATATATATATTTATATATATATATATACCTATACAAAATAATAATCATGTTAAAAATAACCTAATAGTAAAAGCAATAACAGTAACAATAATAATAGTTGTAATATAAAAAAAAATAATCAAAATAGTAATAATTATAATATTAACAACACCAAGCTATTTGATAATTATTCTATTTTTATCATTTTTCTTAAAATACAAGTTCAACAAGTAACCCATGTTCTGTGAAAAATAAAACGAGTTTCTGAAAATAAGGCAACTCCTAATAATGATTTAAACAACTAAATATCGAAGTATACAAACATTGATAATATAATATAATAAAATCTAAAAACAAACAAAATTTGTCAAATAACACTATAAGTCCCATATTTTTCATCTCTATTAACACATGGCAATAGTTGAACAAACTCAATTTATTTATTGATTTATTGGTCTTTTTATATGATTTTTCAATTGCTTTATGGAATCAGCAACCTCATATATTAGCATTATTGAATACTTTTAACATATCGACATCTAACTTTATACGTAGTTTTGGCTTTGTCATTCCTAAAAAACGATTATTTCCTCGCATTAAATCTGGTTTCAGCTGGAAATAGGACTCACCATCAATCACAATAAATTTGCCTCTAAAATTAATTGCAAAGTTTTTTTGAATTGCGTTTTACTATTGTTATTTGCTTTTCAGTGTATCATAAAGGTTTCTTGCGCTTGTAACAAGTAGTAAAACATTAATTAAAACCTATGACATTTTTAGTGAAGCAGCATTTCTAAACAAGTTAACGAAGAGATGCTCTATTTTTATTAATGATTTTTCTACATTTTTCATATTTTTGTAATATAACATATGTTGTTTTTTGTTAGATTCCCACGTTCAAATAGCTTGTTTTTTTTAAATCTTCATATTTTCCTTTGATTTTTTATAAAATTTTATTTTGATTTCTTCCCTTCTCATTAGAGTTTTGCATTTTGAATGAGTAGGTATATATTAGTTATGATTGTTTATCAGTGTTAATTTCATCGGTCCATTAGTGTTAATTTGATTGGCCTATTAGTGTTAACTTCATCGGTCTATAATTGTTTTCAATGATTTTTTGTTTTTTTTTTAATTTCAAAGTTTTGCTAAATTTTACGTTAGCAGACTACTTAAGAGTAACAAATAGTTGTAATGATAAACAAATACAATTGGAAGAATGTGGCTAATTTAAAGGTAATTTAAATTGATAGTTTGCACATCGATGTTTTTTCTTTCTACACAAAGATATCGACAAGTTATTTCTAGAGGTTATTTCTTTTCCATATTTATAGATATCAATAAGCCTATTGAATTTAATCTTTAATAAATTTATTGAATTTAAGGTTATTGACAAAAAGTGTTGTGAACAATTTAGCTCTAAATTTACAATTTTAGTCAACAATCTGATTAAATTTATCTTCTCATTCTTACTAAATATCAATATCAAACTTAATCAAGTCATTATTATTATATCTTGATTATGTGATATACATTGTATCAAAAGTACCTCAGAAAAGTTCAAGTGAAAAGATTATTTGAACTTTTTATTGTTTGATATTAAAAACTTTACTTTCATATTTCTTTTTTTTAAATATTATATTATAATTTATAAACTTTTATGTTAAAGAGAAAATAATGTTTAAGAAATCACAATTAAAAAAGCAAAACATTTTAAACTAACTTTTAAATGCATACCTTAATAAGGCTGCTAATTAGGGGTGTTCATTTTTCAACAATTTTGAGTTTATATTTTGACATGTATGCAGACTAAAAAAATAAATAATTAAAAGTTAATCTAAAGTACAATTTTGATTTTTAAAAATATTTTTATTTTTCACGTTGCAACAAAAGCAGTTTTTTTAAAAATTTTGTGATTCTTACTGTTTATTAAATATCTAGTAATTCCTAATATTTATCAAATATCTGATTGTATTACATACATGTATATGATTTATTTAATACTTGACTATGTTTACGTGATGTGTAGAAATTGAGTTTATTTCTTTATTGGATTACTTTGCATAAAATGGTTTTATCGCCTAAATTTAAAACTTTTTAAATTTAGGCTATGAAATCAGAATTTTGCAAATAGTGTTGCGACTGCCATAGAGACCTGAAATATTTTATATATGCTTTTTAAGAAAATATATATGCTAGATTTAAAATAGACTTGTTTGACTTTTTTTTAAAAAGAAAGTTTCTTCTTCTACTTCCCCATTTGTAGGAAAGACCCCTCGTAACGTCAGTACACTATGAACCCATGTTGCTCAATGTACATAATGTTCTATATACTGAGAACTAAGTTTAAATTTTTTATTTTTTAAATTAAAGTGGAGCAGGAGAGCAGTAAATTATTTGACTTTTTTTTATTCAAATGGAAATTTGACATAAACCCAGTATTATTTTTCCTAACAATATGGTAAACCTTGAAAAAGTTTTACAATGTTTTTAAGTTTAATTTATTAAAAAAGTATTAAGTAATAAATAAAATAAAAAATATTTTTTTATTTCTGAAATAACCTGCATTGCTAGAATGTTTGAAAAGCAAGATCTTAAAGTAATATATTTTCTTAAACATAAACCGTGCATGATTAATGTTAAATTTAATTTCTGGATTGAAGAACACGAAAGTCAACTCGGCTAGTTCATAAAAATCAAAGTGATAAGACCGTAAAGACTGAGCACTTTAACAACTACACACCCATGCAAAGTATTCGTTTCCACTTCTACTTTCTCTCCTTTACATATTCTGTTTTTCATATTTCAATATTTTTATTTTATGAAGAAATTCCCCTTGAATAGCAGGTTTTTATTTTTAATCATAAAATTATACTTAAAGGGATAATAAACTAAAATGAAAGTATAGATATATTAATAATATTAAACAATTTATGTCGAACCAGTGTGCTTTATGAGTTTAAATTGTTGTTCGACTTCGCGGGAAAACTTTTAGTACAATTTAAGAAGATTTTCACAACAAATCTTGAATAAAAATAGAAATGTACTTAAATGATCCGATAGGTTAGGTAAGATAAGTATATTCACTTTTTAAGCGGCGTAATATTCAGGTTTTTGCCTTTTATAAAAAATCGAAACATGTCTAAAAATGTTACTATATCACAAATAAGTTTACTAAGTTTGTCTATAATAAAGTATATTCGTGCGATTTTTGAGTATATAAATTGAGTTATAAACTACTACAATGGATTCAAATAATGATAATTTTAAAAAACTTCTAAACTCATTTCGAAATAATAATTTTAAATTCAATGATGAAATAGATCTAGACTTTTTTTAAATTTGAATTATTTTTGTCATTTTTTAAACTTTGATGGTCGCTTGCTGTTGTTGACAATGATCCAAACCTCCAATTATCTGGTTTTAATCCAATTATTTTTGGTGGTCTAAATCAACAGCTAGTAAGCTGTTTCTATAAGCTACCGAAAAGAGGAGTTAAAATTTTTTTTATAAAAAAACATATTATGAAAAACATATTATAAAGATTTTAACTTAACTATTTTCTGTTCTGTTCTGTTTATTGCGAAAATAAAAACATCAAATCATTTTACACCAAATTATAACGATACCAATAATCAACCGACCAACTGGAAACGATACCAATAATCAACCGACCAATTAGTATTTCAAACTTTTCATCGCCATTAATAAACTTGATATCTTGACCACTGACATTTTCAATAAATCACTAAAAAAAAGAATAACTAAAATTGACGACTCCGTTTATTTCCCAACATATTTTTTTCGTGCACAAGGAATCTTAACGAGAAAATCATAAAAATAAACCATATTCAAAAAAATGTTATTGTAATTGAACAACTTTTTTTACAACTATTGGAACAAAATTTTCTAATACACTTCCATGCATAAGCGATAAAAGTGTTAATGATGTACAATGTAATTCAAACTTAAATTTTACTGAGTTGACTTATAATAAACTTGAAGAAGCTTTTAAATTATTTACAACGAATTATAGCAATAGGATCTGACGGTATTAACTATATATATATACTTTTTTTAAGAATTGACGATTATGCTCCTCCACTTCAGAACCCGTGTCATTGGCCCTTAAAAAAACTGATGTTCGCGATGGTTTTAAATAAGTTAAATAAATTTCTGCTACTTAAAAATATCTTGCAATTTTGTGAAAGACACGGTTTATATTTAGCGCGTTCATCCGTTAAGGATCTTTTCTAGATCATCTAAAAATAGAAAAGATCTTCAAAGAATATCTGCAACACTGGTGATCATTCTAATATAAATAGAAAAGATCTTCAAAGAATACCTGCAACACCGGTGATGATTTAATATAAATAGAAAAGATAACTCTTCAAAGAACAGCTGCAACACCGGTGATCATTCTAATATAAATAGAAAAGATAACTCTTCAAAGAATACCTGCAACACCGGTGATCATTCTAATATAAATAGAAAAGATAACTCTTCAAAGAATACCTGCAGCACCGGTGATCATTCTAATATAAACAGAAAAGATAACTCTTCAAAGAACACCTGCAACACCGGTGATCATTCTAATATAAATATAGTTCTATAAATAATTAAATACAATCAATTTTGTAATTCTTACGTAGTCCCTATTTCTGGAATAAAATGGTTATACCTAATGTCAATATTTCTTATAATTTGACTTATAGTTTCTTTAAACAGAAGTTAAAAGAAGCTGTTTTTTCACTAGAAAATATTTTTATTTATTTCTTACAATTGCATCTCTCCAACTTTATTTTAAACTTGTCAACGTATTTAACTGTAATGTATATCTAGTCCCGGCGCTAGACATTCCGAAGGTGTATGAAATATATATTTTGGCGCCTTAATAAAATAGGTTATTTAATGTATTTTAATGTATCAAATACAAATTTTTTGAAAAAGGCTTATAACTAATTTAACTTAAAAATAGTACTTTTCAAAAAAAATACTTGTAAACAATGCCAATGATTGGTTAGCGGGAAAATGCACATACATGACTTGATTAATTAAAACATTTTTAAAATTGTATTAAATATGCATAAAATAATTAAAGAAAGTTATAAATGTTTTTATTATAAAATAAAATATACTTATTCTTACATAAAATAAGCATATACATATTTTTATAATTATTCTTAGAAATTTATATTTTTATATTCTCAGGAAAAAAATAAGTTTTAAATGAAAATTTGACTTCTTCCCAGCCCTGGGAAAACGTCAAATTTCTGTGTATATTACAACATAAATTGTAAAATTACATTATTTAATTATTACAAAAAACTGTAAACTGTACTTGTCTTCGTGATAAGAAGATAAGGTTTTCTAAAAATCCGTCTATTAATTTTTTTAATATGTATTTTTTATGTTATTCTAAAAAAAAATTAACGAGGTAAAACAACAACAAAAAAAAAATTAAAGGGTCCTAACTCTTAACAGATTTTTTGAGATAAGATATACAAATGCTAATTTAAATTTAATATAAATTCTTAAGGAGGTTGCAAAAAAATTGTTTGATATGTATGACAGTCACAACACTTGGGCTCATTATGTGCAACTTTTAGAAATTATTTAATTTTGCTTAAATTTTTCATTTTTAAAAAGTTTTTGACGCAAGATGATCTAATAGAGATTTTTTCTAAACATCACTTAGACATGGTTGACTATTATATAAGTCGAACATGTCTTTAGCACAATCAGGTCTAAAGGTATTTAACAAACAGTGAGAATTTCAAATTTATCAAAAATAGCGTCTGTTGGAACAAGAAAAAGTCTCACAATTACCCATTTTTTTAGCCTGCATACATGTCAATAAAACAAAGTTATTGAAAAAGGAACACCTTTACTGCAGATACGTATAAAAAATTGGTATTTTTTGATTATTTCATTTAAATTTGAAACAATTTGCTCATTTTATAAAATAAACAGCTTAAAAAGTTGCGTAATAAACAGGGATGCGGAATCCCAAAACTTGCTGGTTTTAAATCTTTATTTTCTCCTTTTTATATACAAGAATAAGCGCTTTTGGATATATCCAAAAGCTCTAGAAATATTTTCTAACTTAAATCTTCAATAAAAAAAATATTCATAAGATTTAATGACTAAGAACATATTGTTTATTAGTCCGGAGTCCTGGAGTCGTTCCCGCTATTACAGATAAAGATTCCTAGTTCAAAATTTGAATATTCCTCTAACATGAGTGTATTAATTTTTTTCCTAAAAGTAGTCCATAATTCTTTTTAAGTTTTTGGAGCTCATGAATACCAAAAATTAGAAAAAAAGAATTATTTTTGACTATCAAAATCAAGGTCTTTTATGGGAAATCGCATTCCTGGCAATAAGCTATTAATATAATACGCAAAACAAAATCCTTAATGTTTTTCTTGTTTTATTTTAGAATTGATAAAGACGAATTTATTTACAACTAATACTTGGTATAATATCCGAGCATATCCCTTTGGTTTACAAAATGAAGACTTTTATAAAAAGAACGTGATATTAAATAAAAATGAAGTATGGTTGTTCAATTTAGCCGAAGAAGTCAACATTGTTAATGTTACTTTGGCATTCAAAGAAAAAAATTACGAATTTCGTTTAATAAGTCCTGGCGAAAATGCATATTGTTCATCCGAAAATGACAACAATAACTGTTTTGAAACGAAATATCAAAGTAATAGTTACTATGAAATAAATGTTGGATTCAGTAGTAGTACTACATCATATATTAAGTTATCAGCTGAAGTTACTGAGATGCTTCTTTACTTCATTGTATACACCAAAGAGTTGAACAAACCTTGTAAGTAAAACAATATTTTTTTGAATTGCTTGTTTTTTATTTTATGAAATAGTATATATTAAATTATTACATATTATAATAACTTTTTAGAAGGGCAACTAATGCTGGTTGTTTTGAAACCATCGGCTAATGCTGATTGTTTTGAAAACGTTAATTTTTTACTTTTGTGCTTCTTCTTTGCACACAAACATAAAATAATGCAAAAATAACTTGAATGCAATGTATAAGAAACTAAAAATGCAATGCAATAAAAAAATAAAGCCCTTTTTAATGAAAATGGCATAAAGGTTTAGAAATGGCTTTCACAGATCTAGATATTTGATTTTCACAAATCAAATATGTATATGTATATATATATATATATATATATATATATATATATATATATATATATATATATATATATATATATATATATATATATATATGTATATATATATATATATATATATATATATATATATATATATATATATATATATATGTATATATATATATATATATATTTATATATATGTATATATATATATTTATATATATGTATATATATATATATATATAAATATATATATATATATATATATATATATATATATATATATGTATATATATATATATTATAATATATATATATATATATATATATATATGTATATATACATATATATATTATAATATCTATATGTATATATATATATATATTTATATATATATACATATACATATATATATGTATATATATATATATATATATATATATATATATATATACACATATATATATATATATATATATATATATATATATATATATATATATATATATATATATATATATATATATATATATATATATATATATATACTCTAGAGACAATTCTAGAAATAAAATGAGGGGGGGGGGGATCTAAAATATACCGACTGCTCAGAAATTATTATATATATATATAAATTTTAAAATAAAATTTCTGAGCAGTTGGTATATTTTAGAATCCCCCCCCCCCCTCATTTTATTTCTAGAATTGTCTCTAGAGTATATATATATATATATATATATATATATATATATATATATATATATATATATATATATATATATATATATATAGCCCAATAATACGAGTGTCGCGTAAATAACAAAATAACGAAGCGAGCTCTTGCCATATTTTGCGCCATTAGTAAGGAAGGCAGTGTGAACTTCTTATTTAAATGCTCTTCCACGGTGTTCTGTGACAGGTCTTTTTGCGGCACCTAAAGCAAAAAAAAAAAAAAAAAAATATATGGATGAATTAGGACAGTTGTGAAAGTTTGAAGCAGCCGTGGCGCAGTGGTAGCACACTTGCCTCAGAAAGTAAGATCCGCGGTTCAAACCCACCTCTGGGCAAGTTTTGCGACATCGGTTAGGAAGGAGGCGTAAACTTCCTATTAAATGCTCTTCCGCGGTGCTCTGTGATAAGACCGTAAGGACTTCTTATGGCACCTAAATCAACAAAAAAAAAAAAAAGTTTACCCGGAACTCAAGAAAAAAGCGGGATCGAGTATTTGACCGAGTTGATCAAGTTTGTACTTGGATGAATATCTTAGAACATTTCTTCTTCCTGCGGGGATGGATCTTATTTGAATTTTCATCAAGTTGAGAAAAAAATTACTGTTTAGATATTATTAAATAATTGAATGTACAAACCAAATAACTCTTAAACGTAAAGATATTTTGATCGGTGACAGATTTTTAGAATTATTCAGGAATATGCTAAACTTTAATTTTGTTTTAGTCTCATTTCAAACAGATAAACATATTGAAATATTAAGTAAACGGTGCTTATTTTTTATGATTTTTACTATTTCAATTGTATGACGATTTATTATTGTGAAATGGTGTGATTATTTTTTATTGTTAAATGGTGCGATTATGCTTTTTCTATGTTTTACATTGTATTACTATTATATCTACTTTTGATGCTCAGAACCTAAATAACTAACTTTTTCAATGATCAAAACCTTTTAACAAGTATTGTAATAAAAACTTTAATGATATTTTATTGTTTTATGGCCAATGAAAATTCTATATTAACCCCAAATGTAGTGTCAATGGCGACAAACAGAAAAAATAAATAAAAAAAATTTTAAACATCATTTTTATTTATCAAAAAATGCATAATTTCATAGAAGCAGTATATGGCCATACTATATAAAAAACTATATTCTCAATCAGTGGTACCAGGAAAAGCTTTAAAACCAAAGCCTATCCATTCAGGTATAATTTGGTTAAAATTTTATCGCAAAGCATTCTGGGATGTCCAGCCAGACCACAGAAGTTTTATTTTATTAAGTAGCGAAAATTTTTTTTTATATGTATCTAAAAGAATTTTAATTTTAATTATAACAATGACATTTTTTACTTCTATAAACTGTGGAAATAAATAAAACTGTAAAGGGATTTCATTTTTTCGTTTTCGTTTTAAAGACGAAAAAATTAAATGTCTTTACAGTGTTTTTCATTTTTAGTTTAATTAAATTAACTTAGGCCGCTTAACTAATTCTATATAGAATATGTAAAATAAATTCAAAAAACCTAATCCAAGAATGTAGTGGTGAAATGCCATAGTACAATGCTTGCCCATCTGTAACAAATCCATCCTTATAGATTTTTAGACCGCTAATCATGTTAAGTGTGGTGTGAAAAATCGGACAACATTGTGTCGAAGAAGTGTCTGTGATGAAAACTAAGATTTTACCATCAATAATTGAAAGGAAAAATCTGTAGATGATAAAAACATACTTATGCCCTGGGAGGTTAACTTTAGCAGAATATTTCAATTTCCTCTTTAATTTTTAATACCACTTCTTTATTTTCCTTTATATACTACAGCATAATTGGTCAACAGAATCTAATACTCTGAGACTTTATGCTATTCAATAACATTACTATTCAAGTTTGAATAAAAAGTTTGACATATAGTTAAAGAAGTAATGTTGCTGTGACAAGTGCTCCGAATCTTAAAGAATTATTTTGATTGGAATTATTAAAATATTGATAGTATTTTGAGTTGCGTCCATACCCCAACTACTAATGAGTATTACTTCATCAAAAACTTTTTTTTTATGTCTTTGTTTTGCTGATTTATTTATTAAACCCTCTTGATTACCTGGTGATTTAACTAAACCAATTGTATTAAAAACTGAATTAAACCAAACCTGATTTCTATGCCATAGTGCTTTATACTTTGCAAGTTTTAACCTCCTTTTAAATAAATTTGTTTTGTCTTTTCTGACTTCTAGAATCCTAGTAATAATGTAAACCCACTGTTTACATAATCAATAGTTTTTTTTTTGAAACCTAAAAACATTGCACTATTTGTCTTTTAATTCCATTTGATTTCCTCCACTATCTTCATTCACAATAATAAACTTAGATAGGTAAAATAAACTCGCGGATAATCGCAGCCACACTCGCGGATAATCGCAGCCACACTTCTCAGGGTAGTTAATACACACTATAGACTAAAAAATATCAAAATATGGAAGAGGTGCAAATTGAAACAGTTTTTTACTTCTGTGTCAATATTAAAATTCAGTATTTTTGTAATGAGTTTTTTACTTTCAATCCTAAAAATTGTAGTAACAAGTTTTTCAGGAAATTTTGTTTTCAATAGTCTATATTGTAACCTTTCTAACAATATATTGTCAATTTTTCAATGATCTATATGCTAAAAAAAAATTATTTACTAAAACTCAGCATCATGAGTATTTTTATCAAAAATTCTTTAAAAACCTAATTTCAAGAAGCCACCATTACTAAGTCTGTCATATTTAGAATTTCATAAATTGGAAAAATTCTTAGTGAAGGTGTTAGTAACATAGTCAGACTAATGTTTGAAGTAAATCACTTTTTTGTTTTTTGGTCATGTTATTTCCCACTGTGTGAAATATGTTTATTTAATTCCACCAATCCCTAGTTTTGAGTTGATCTATGTTCATCTAAAAATCAATATCTCAAAAGTACACTCTAAATTTAAAAGTGTTAAATCACACCGCTTTGGTGTTAATATAACCTCAAACGGTGTTAATTGAAAATAATTTCGGAAAAAGGTGTAAATTTACACCGTTTTAGTGTAATTTTACACTCTGAAGGTGTGTTTTTATTAAAACGGTGTAAAATAACACCTTTTTTGTTAACTACACCGTTTTAGTTTAAAATTTAAATAATAAAAAGTTTTTCTATTTTTACACCGTTTTAATGAAACGGTGTAAAATGGTGTAAAATAGTGTAAAGCTGTTTTACACCGTTTTACAAAAATATAATCTCAGATTTACACTGTTTTGGTGTCAACATAGCTTCAAACGGTGTTTATTAAAAATGATTAAAGCAAAAGGTGTAAATTTACACCGTTTGGGTGCATTTATATACTTTGAAGGTTTATTTTTATAAAAACGGTGTAAAATATTTTTTTTTTAATTTACTACGCCGTTTTAAAAAGTGTCGCCAAAATTATGATTCAATTGTTATAAAATCTAAAACACTCGTTTTAGATTTTATAACAATTGCCATAGATTTTATAACATTCGCCAAAAAGTAAATTATGATTCAATTGTTATAAAATCTAAAACATGTGGTCCGCAACTTTAATAATTTTTTAACTCAGAGTTGTTGTAAATGTGTTTTAGTGGTTTTGTAATGAATATATTTGAGAACCGTTACTCTAAATAAACTTTTGATAAAAAGTCAGAGTTATACCAAACGATTATAGTTAAAATTTGTAAATCAGAGTTATGCTTATTCTAAACAGGCTTGAACTTAAAGAGAAAAATATGTAATCAGAGTTATCCTTTTTTTTTTTTTTTTTTTTTTTTATGTTGATTTAGGTGCCCCAAGAAGTCCTTACGGTCTTATCACAGAGCACCGCGGAAGAGCATTTAATAGGAAGTTCACGCCTCCTTCCCAACCGATGTTGCAAAACTTGTCCAGAGGTGGGGTTTGAACCACGGATCTTACGTTTCTG